CAACGGGGCCCTCTCGTGCGTTCCCAAGGTGGGCCCTTGGCCGGCTCGATCCTGAGCTGGCCCGGGAGGCGGCCATTGTGGAAGCGTGGTGCTCCCAGGGGAGTGTGGTGGGCGCCGGCTCCGAAGTGGAGGAGCTGGCTGGCCGCATGCGCGACGCCCTCACAAGGGTCTGCGATGCGGCCATGCCGCGAGTTAGGCGGCACGACCGGCGTCGCCGGTGTGTGTACTGGTGGTCGCCCGAAATTGCAGGACTCAGGGCGGCCAGCAGTAGGGCCAGGAGGGCATATGTCCGGTGCAGAAGGAGAAACGGCCTGGACCCTGAACTGGAGAGCGAGCTGCGGCAGGCCTATAAGTCTGCAAAAAAGGCCCTGCAGCTCGCCATAAGCCAGGCCAAGGCGGTGGCCCGTCAAGAATTGTTGGCGGGCCTCGACAGGGATCCGTGGGGGCGCCCTTACATCAGCGCGCGGAACAAGCTCTGCGCGCACGGCGCCCCGGTCACGGAGACCACGCCGCCCGATGTTCTCCTTCGGCTTGTGGGAGGACTGTTTCCGGAGTCGTCGGGTCACAACCCCCAGTGATGGCTCCTCCCTCATTCCACGAGGGAGTTGAGGAAATCCCCCCGATCACTGAGGGGGAATTTAGCCTGGCCCTCGACAAACTACGGGCCAGGCGGAGGGCTCCGGGACCGGACGGTATTCCGGGGCGGATTCTAACCATCGCCCTGGAATACCTGGGAGGGGACCTTCGGGCTCTGTTCAACGCATGTCTTCGTGTTGGGCAGTTCCCGAAGGTCTGGAAGGAGGGGAGATTGTGCCTACTGCCCAAGGAGGGTCGTCCTCTGGACTCTCCTTCGGCGTACAGGCCAATCGTGATGCTGAGTGAAACGGGCAAACTCTTCGAGAGAAATTCTCGCTGCCCGTATCACTCGGCATCTGGAGGAGGTGGGGCCGGGCCTTTTCAGAGGCTCAGTTCGGGTTCAGGGCGGGAAGATCAACGGTGGACGCCCTGAACGCCCTGAAGGTCCGGTCCTTGGCCGCAGTGGAGGAGGGAGACGTGCTCTTAGCCGTCTCGGTGGATGTGGCCAACGCCTTCAACACCCTGCCGTTTGAGACTCTACGAGAGGCACTACGCTATCATCAGGTGCCTCTCTATCTCCGGCGGGTGTTGGACGCGTACCTCCATGACAGGCAGGTCATGTGGATGGGGGCAAATGGGGTGGTCGGTCGGCGACGTGTCGACTGCGGGGTTCCACAAGGGGCCGTTTTGGGCCCGGTACTGTGGAACCTCGGCTACGATTGGCTCCTGCGGTGTCCGCTCCTTCCCAGGCTGGGTGTCATCGCCTACGCTGATGACACCCTGGTGACGGCCCGGGGTCGTTCATATGAGGAAGCGGCACGCTTGGCCACAGTCGGCACAAATCTGGTCGTCGACCGGATTGGGATGCTGGGCCTGAGGGTCTCCATAACCAAAAACGGAGGCCCTCCTTTTCCATGGCCCACGCAAGGGTGCCCCTAGAAATGCCTGCCTGCGCGTCCAGGGGAGGATGGTGGAGGTAAAGGCCCAAATGAAATATTTGGGCCTGACCCTGGACGCTCGCTGGACGTTCCGTGTCCACTTCGCCCAGCTCACCCCGAAATTGATGAGCGCCGCCTCGGCCCTTGGCAGACTTCTGCCGAACGTCGGGGGCCCTGGATCTCCTTGCCGGCGGCTTTATGCCGGCATCGTGAGGTCCATGGCACTGTACGGTGCTCCTGTTTGGATTGACGCCCTCGCTGCTGAGAACAGGGCCCAATTGCGCAGGGCGCAGCGGGTTCTGGCGGTGAGGGCGATACGGGGGTACCGTACGGTGTCCTATGAGGCGGCGACGCTTCTGGCGAGCGATCCGCCCTGGGAACTCCAGGCGGAGGTGCTCGCCGAAGTGTACCAATTTCGGGCGAGTGAGCGTGGGCGCGGGGAACGTCCAGCGTGGGAGGGAGTCGCTCGGATCAGGCGCCTAGCTGACGAGGCCCTGATCCGGCGCTGGAGGGAAGATCTGGGGACTCCGGCGGCTGGCCTGGCGACGGTGGGTGCGGTTCGTCCGTACCTGTCTCGCTGGGTCAGGAGGCCACACGGCGTCCTGACGTTCAGGCTGACACAGATGCTTACCGGGCACGGGTGCTTTGGTAAGTATCTGTGTCAGATTGCACGTCGGGAACCGTCGCCCGTATGCCACGAGTGTGGTGCGTCCGAGGACACCTCGCACCACACCCTCGCGGTATGCGCCGCATGGACTCCCCAGCGCCATGCCCTGATGGCGGTAGTGGGTGGAGACCTTTCGTTGCGAAGCGTGGTGGGGGCCATGCTACGCGACGCGAGGTCCTGGTCGGCGATGGTCTCCTTTAGTGAGACCGTCATCTCACTGAAGGAGACGGCGGAGAGGGAACGCGAGGCTAACGCCTTAGCAGACCCTCTTCGTCGCCGTCGGCTGGGGGGAGGAGGCGCCGGTATGCGCATCTTCTCCCGCCACCCTAGAGGAGCTACTGCGGGGGGGTCTCTCGTTGACTCCCCTGCACGTCATCGGGGCGGTCGGGATGCCCTGCGAACCGAGGGCATCCTGATTTAGGCGAGGCTGGCCCGCGTGGTACGGGCCGTCCGCAGGGGTGTTGCAGTGAATGCGAAAGCGATCCTGCACGCCCCATTGCACTGCGGCGAAGGGTTCCGCTGTGGGTTTTAGTGAGTAGGAGTCTCACAGTACCCTGCCCATGACGGCGGCAGGGTCCCCATGATGGGTTTCCCCAGCGAAAACAAAAAAAAAAAAAAAAAAAAAAAAAAAAAAAAAAAAAAAAAAAAGGTTAGGTTAGGTTAGGTTAGGTTAGGTTAGGTTAGGTTAGGTTAGGTTAGGTTAGGTTAGGTTAGGTTAGGTTAGGTTAGGTTAGGTTAGGTTAGGTTAGGTTAGGTTAGGTTAGGTTAGGTTAGGTTAGGTTAGGTTAGGTTAGGTTAGGTTAGGTTAGGTTAGGTTAGGTTAGGTTAGGTTAGGTTAGGTTAGGTTAGGTTTAGGTTAGGTTAGGTTAGGTTAGGTTAGGTTAGGTTTAGGTTAGGTTAGGTTAGGTTAGGTTAGGTTAGTTAGGTTAGGTTAGGTTAGGTTAGGTTAGGTTAGGTTAGGTTAGGTTAGGTTAGGTTAGGTTAGGTTAGGTTAGGTTAGGTTAGGTTAGGTTAGGTTAGGTTAGGTTAGGTTAGGTTAGGTTAGGTTTTTTTTTTTTTTTTTTTTTAATGAAGCCGACAATCTTCTGACATGGTGGTCAGAAACCTTTTTTACAATTTTGGAATTTTTTACAATTTTTTAAGACCAAGGGAATTTTTGTTGTTTACATTTATTTTACACTGTTTCTTATTTCTATTAATTAGGCTATTGGTTTTACATGGTTATTTCTATTTTAATTTTACAATTTTACTATTATAATATTTCTAATATTTTATAATTTTTGGTTATTTCAGTTATTACATTTTTGCTTTAATTCACACTATGTTATTGACAGTTTTTCTTATTTTTAGCTATTATTTACATTTAAATTTCTATGTTATAATGCCTATATATTAGTTCTTTACTATGCTATTTGAAGTTTTACCTTACATTCTAGTGTTGTTTATACATTTTAATCGGTTAGAAGTATATTTTCGTGTGGCTACTATTGAGTGTATTTATTTGTACTTATACTTTTAACTTTCTTAGTATTATACTTATATTAATTATAATATAATTTAATACTATTTCCTTACTATTATTATTTTCTACTACTAGGTAAGTACTGTGTTTTTTATATCTTTTTTTTTTTTTTTTTTTTTTTTTTTTTTTTTTTTCAGTACATTATTTTCTTGCATTATTGTCTGTTAATATATTTGGTGGTTGTGAGCCTGCTGTATTGACACTGTTCAGCAAAACTTAATGTTTCCTGTTACAGGTTTTGCAGAGGAGAATTCTATATGCTGTTCCGACTTGTGCATTCGGGGTAATTAAATTGCCTCGAGGTATATTCATTATACCTTGCAGATAGAAGTCTGATGCGGTGTTGTGTTTCGTATGTAGCCTTAACTATATGCCACACTAGAGCGGGCGAGGGCGTCCCATTTTTTCCGCACTGGGCAGTGCATGTCGAAGCTATTGTGGTCTGTTCTTGCGTGTTTGGCCTGCAGGCAGTTTTTGCACGAAGGCTCCTCACCTGCCTGTAGGCTGGGGCATTCACTGCGCATGTGAGGACCGGAACAGTGGCTGCACAGATCCACAGTCTCCGTGCACCACTTCTTTCCGTGTCCGAACGCTAAGCATCTTGAGCACTGCACCAGTGGGGAAAGGTCGAATACTGGGACTCTCTGGATGTCCACATATACTTTTCCTGCAGAGGTCATCGCTTGCCAGACCTGTGGTGAGACCTCCAGTACTATGTGGGTCTCCTTTGGGTTTCTCGCTTTCCTTCTATGCCTGAATTTTATTCTATGGTCTTCTGGTGCAATGTGTTGAAATAGTTCCTCATTTTGGTCTTCTAATGCTTGTATTATTTCCTGGTCTGTGTTGCTTGCTAATATGTTTCTGATTATTACTAGTGGGTCTTTGTTCTGTTTCACTTCCACCTTGAAATTTTCTTTCTCTAGTTTCTCCTTTATTTGGTCAAAGTCCTCTTTATTGTCACAGCCTAGGAGCACCCTTTGGTCTTTGACTTTCCTTAATTTTGAGATGTGCAGTCGAGACTTCCTGGCATCCAAAGTATCTCTAATTTTGTCCATAACTTCCTCACTTGTGTCAATTCCGTTATCTGTTCCTACTAAGAGGCAGTGAGTTTTTGTTGTTGTTTTGTTATGTGTTGTTGCTTCTGCGTATGTTTTTGGTGATGATACTTGGATCTCTTGCTTCTGGGTTGGGTCTGCTATTTGTATTGTAGGTGTTGTTGTTGTTATTTCTGTTACTATTTCTTTCATTTCTTTTACTTCATCCGTCAAGGATAGGAGTGTTTGTCGGGTCTGCTCACTAATGCTGTTCTGTTCTTCTGCCGCTTCCACCAATTTAGCTGGGGCTTTACACGAGATCTCTAGTGTTTTGAGTTGTGCAGCTTGTTGGTCTTTTATTGTCTGCATTTCCTCTGTTATTAGTAATAGGGCTGCTTGGGTTGTTTTAGTAATGAGGTTTTGATCTCTAATTGCCTCCATAACTTTGAGGATATGTGCGATTGTGGATGTTTCTTGCGTCTGTTCTTTTTCTTTTGCCCGGTTGGCTATTATTATTTCCAAGTTATTCTTGAGTGACAGTCTTGAGTCGTTTAGGAGGTCCACGATTTCGTATAGTCTGTTTAAACTGCTCAGAACTGCCTCCTTTATAGTCGTTTTTAAATTTCCGGACGATTCCATGTGCTGCTTAGCAGTCTTCAGGACGGTTTTTGCCTCTTCTTTGAGGATATCCATGTTTGGTTCCGGTGGATTAGGCTTTATTTGGCCTCCACTCTTTCTGACGCTAGAGGACTTTGCGGCTTGTTTCGACATTTTTGTCAGAATTGGCTTCTCGTCAATACAAGTCAAAAAATATGTATTTTAATAATTTAACGAGTGTAAAGAGCTCGTTAATTGTCTTACTCTATCTTAACTATAGCTTTAACCTAATTTGCTTCCAATATGGAAGGAATCCTTCTTAATATAACACGAACCTATAATGAAAACTAAGTTTTTTAGAATGTGGGGGGGAGGGGGGGGGGGAGATATTTGGGATCTGGGGATGGGGGGTTGTAAGGCTAGCCGAGACCTTTAAAATGAGCCCAAACTCGAGGTCCGTATGTCAGTTTTTGATAGAGTTGGGCAAAAGTTTAGGTTTTTGGGGTTTTACGGGGTTGTTTAGGGGAAATTTTATGTTTTTAATTTTGGTTAGGGTCTGCCACAGGTCAGTCTGTTATATATATTTTTTATTCCGAAATCGTAGGAGTGGGATTTTTTTAAATGGGGTTTTTTGGGTTTTGTTTGAAATGGGGGTTGGATAAAAATTTTATTTTGGGGGTCCTAGAAGCGGTTTTTAAATACCTATCGCCCGACACCAATTTCGTCAAAATCGGTTGAATAGTTTAGGAGTTATTTAAGTTTTAAGTAGAGGGGGGGTGGTGGGCGTGGGCGAGGGGGGGGGGAGGTCTCGTGGGTAGCCTTGGGGGTCTTTGGGGGTGTTGGGGGTCTTTCGGGGGGTGGGGGGTGATGCCTAATACCCAAGAGTGGGCAGGCTGGGATGGACAGGGACGGAGATATGATAATCCCAAGTTTGAGGGGGGGGGTACAAAAGACAAAATTTTTCTAAGTCCCTGTCCCTATGACTTAGTAGTTGTATTCTCAAAGTATCAGATTCGATTTTATTTATTTATAACAAAGTTCTATGTTGTTACCCCTATGGCTCAGTGGTGAAATCTAAAAATTTTTCTAAGTTCGATTTAATTTTTACAAAGTTCTATGTTTATTATATTACAAGGTTCTATGTCGTTTTACTCCTATGGCTTAGTGGTGAATTCTAAATTTTTCTAAGTTCGATTAAAAATTTCAAAGTCCTATGTTCTTATAATATTACAAAGTCCTATGTTGAAGTTCCTATGGATCAGTGATTACTCTTCGTAACAGTATTAGGTTCGATTTTTATTAATTATTACAAAGTCCTATGTTTTAGTATTAAAAGGTTCTATGTTACAATAATTGGGATCCGGGTGACTGAGGGGTAAGGGGTAATATGGACAAGGGAGGGAAGGTGTCTGTAGTCTGTTTTTTTTTTTTTTTTTTTTTTTTTTTTTTTTAATATTTTTGCTTAAGGGGTGAGGGGTAATATGTCAGAGGGGGGGGGGGGGAATGTGGCGTGATGCGCAAGTCAGTAAGTCTAAGGGGTGCGGGGTATGGGTCGTAGGGGTCAGGGGGGTATTAACTATGTTTTTAGAAGATTTTCTAAGTTAGTTCCACTATAGCTCAGTGGAAGTTATACAAAATCGTAGGTTCGATATTCTAAAATAATTAAAATATGTCAATATGTTATAACATAAGGTTCAATATCGTACTTAATTTCTATTTAATTAATTTATCCTAAAGTCCAGCTCTAACTTAACTATGTTTGTCTTCGACCAATGGAGCAATCTACAGCCAATGGGAACAATCTACAAATCTATATGCATTTTTGTTCCTCCAATCCTAGCTTTATACACTTTTTTGTCTCCACCCAGCATATATAATGAACAAATTTTGTCCAACTTGTATGTTCGTTGAATATATTTGTTTTGATTTTATATGTGAAAAAAATTTTTATTAGATTTTTATTTCGAATAATTTATTGGTGTTAATTTTGAAGTCCAAATATGATTTTAGCTTTTATAAATTTTGAAGAAATATTTAATTTTTAATTATTTTTATTTGCAAGCGGAGCCGGGAGGCAAGTACTCTATGTATATCAACACTTTTAGCTCCGCCCGGCTCCGTATAGTGAAAATCGGTTGAACAAAATTTGTTCGTTGAAGATTTATATCAATATTTTTACTAAGTTAAATTTATTTATTAAATTTAGTATATTTATTAATGTACTATGTTATCTAAGTGGTGGTTTTAACTATTGATTAAATTTATATTATTAGAAAAACTTATAATTTTGACAATTTATTTTATATTTTAATGGGAAGCAAACCCGTAGTATGTAATATGTTTTGAAAGTAGATGTAAAATTTTACTTTAATTATTTTAATATACACTTTTTTACCTTATGATCTAGATTGCTTAATATCTTAAAAACTACTGAACGGATTTTATTACGGTTTTTTTCACTATAAAAAACTAGGAGAGTTGCTCTTTTCTTTTCAATAAATTTTTCCAGGGGTCGTCACTGAAGATAATTTTTAATCTTCTTCTGAAGTTTGTCAATATTTTTCAGAATTTTAAAATGTCTATATCTTTGTTACTGTTTTAGTTACGGCTATGCACGATACCTTTCTGTGATCGGCGCGTCCTGCTCTTTCCAGTAGTGGTGGTTGAAAGTCTCTGTCTCTCTCCGTTTGGGAAAGAGAGAATCCGGCAATCTTGTTTTTTTGAACTTTTTGACCACTTCCCGGTGTCCAAAAATTCCGGGAGTGGTGTCGTTGGATAGGTCTTAGAGAGCACTTTTAAACGCACAAATAAAATTGGTACGTTGTCGATCTAGATCGAGCGGCGCACGCGAAAACAGTTTAAAAATGTCTAAGTTTATCACTTTTTGCCAAATTTTGGCTAATTCCGTGCACAATTTTTGTCACTATTGTTATATATTTACACGTTGACACTTAATACACTATATTTCACAGTTTTTAGCAAATTTTCAGTCTTTTTTCTATTATTTAGCGATTTTTAAAGTTTTAAACGCCGTTTCTTCGACCGGAGCACTGTTTCCGACGCGGTGAGCGCGTCCGTTCGCTCCCGGTGGTCGAGCGGGACTTGGGTTAGGTTAGGTTAGGTTAGGTTAGGTTAGGTTAGGTTAGGTTAGGTTAGGTTAGGTTAGGTTAGGTTAGGTTAGGTTAGGTTAGGTTAGGTTAGGTTAGGTTAGGTTAGGTTAGGTTAGGTTCCCGGGGCAGAGGCTGACTGCTACCGGGCGCGTCCCCCGGGTGGCGGATAGGGGAATGCCACTCGCGACTGTTCCCCCAGACAGGAGCTTGTGGTACCGGAGCAATCCGGCGCGGACCAACAGCCAGGAGGGGCAGGGGGAGCGGTGTCAGGAGGGCGCCGTCTCCTCCTTGGAGGTAGCGCGGTGTCTCCGGCCGTTTTGCGGTAGGAGGCGCTGCGCGGGCCGTGCTGCCGGGGCTAGCCCGTCGGTGCGGCGGCTGGAGCGGGGCCATTTCGGTGGTCCTGCGTCTGGCGTGGTTGTCGGCAGCCATCTTGGTCCGGAGGTGGGCCGACGGTAGGGGGGCCGCGGGGGAAGAGGAGTGTCGGTATGGCGATGCGCCGCTCGTCCCTATCTCCCGCGGCCTAGCGGGGCCACCACCGTTAGATGGTGGACGCGGTGGGGCTGCAGAGGAAGAGGAGTGTCGGTGTGTCGTTGCCGCTCTCCCTGTCCTCTGCAGCCGATTGGAGGTGGCCTACTTCGGTGGGCGGAGGTTGGATTTGATGGGGCTGCTCCGGGTACCTCTCTGGTGTAGCAGAGTTGACTGTGGAGCAGCCTCATCGGTATGGTGGTCAGCCATTGGCAGACCTGCCGCCGGGGCGCCGTAGTAGTTATGCGCGAGCGATCCTGCGGCGTCCCATTAAGGCGGAGGGGAGGGGAATGTCGGGTTTTAGTGGGTAGTACCGGCTCTTCTAGCCGGTGAGCCCCACATAACCACCTGGGGGGGAGGGGGGCTTTATCAGGTGGCATGCGTAAATGCATTTCCCGACAAAAAAAAAAAAAAAAAAAAAAAAAAAAAAAAAAAAAAAAAAAAAAAAAAAGGTTAGGTTAGGTTAGGTTAGGTTAGGTTAGGTTAGGTTAGGTTAGGTTAGGTTAGGTTAGGTTAGGTTAGGTTAGGTTCTCAGGGCAGTTGCTGGACTGCTACTGGGCGCGTCCCCCGGGTGGCGGATAGGGGAATGCCACCACATTGGTGGTACCGGTCTCGACCGGCGCGGACCAAAACCAGCAGGCATGGGCGTGCCTTTAGGGGTTTGTTAACCCCACGGCCTAAGGGAGCACACCCTGACAGAAAAGCGCGAGGTGGGGCGGGTCCGGCGGGTGCTTAATTGCGCAGCCGGACATGCACCAGGGTGCACCCCCCCCTCAACTCGTAATCCCGGTTCCTGGTGTCGTTGATCACGTCTAGCGGCCGGGACTGGGAAACGAGGGCCTTGGCTTAACCGCCCGGGCTGCGAGGAAGAAAACCTCTCTAAAAAATTACCCCAATCCCAAGCGGAGAAGCAGCGCGAGGGGATGCGTGGCCGATGGGAAGATCGGTCCCTACTGCTTCCCCCGCCAGAGTACCGGCCGACACTCTGGGCGGGTTATTGAAGGCTTATCCGGGTGCAGGGGGCACCACACGGATGGACGGAGTATTTCCCCCATACTCGTGGGATCTAATTATGGACTCTTTAAATAAACTAAAACTAAAATCTTTGATGTGGAGCCTGTGACAGGCGGTGTGACGAATGAGCCAGTTTTTGGCGTAGTTTGATTTGGCTTCGGAGGGAAGCGAATCGGAAGGGTGTTTTACGGACACTTCGGTGGGGCGTAAAAGGCCCCAAAAGACTATGGCGATCTCGTCCAGCTCGGACACTGAGACTGAAAGGACGGTCAGCGCCAGAAAGGCGAAGGCGAGAAAAGAAGGGGGTAAACCAGGTACGGGAGGTACTGGTATCGCTCGTGCACGACGTGAGCTCGAGAACATGGAAAGAAGAAGCGAGAGAGGCGGAATTTGAGAGGCGCTTGAACCAGCGTGTTTTATGTTAAGGCGGGCTCAAGCGCACCCAAGGTCCGTAAGGCTGGAACATCTGTGCCAACGGATTCTGAGGCGTCGGCGTCTGAGGCCCCCGGTTCAGAAAGACACAGC